GGCTTTTTCTGCTTATGTGGTGCTGAGGAATCAAACCCAGGGCCTCATGCATGCAAGGCAAGCACTCTACCACTGAGCCACCTTCCCAGCCCTCAAAACCCATCTTGATTTGCTCTGATGTTTTGTGCATCTGGTATAGATGTCACTTTCCTTAGGTACATTTTCATGACTTGAGAATATCCATTCTTTTGAAGTGTATATAAAGGCTGTGAAACTGGGAGGCTTATGACTTTTGAGCTCACCACATACTGTCTTCACTCCTACTGAATCTGGGTTTAGGTTGAGTGAGCGCCGCCGTAAACGTCTTCTGGAGCTGGAGGGTCAAATAGCTGATTTAAAGAAAAAACTAAATGATCAGTCCAAACTTCTGAAACTGAAGGAATCCACAGAGCATACTGTGTCAAAACTGAACCAGGAGATTCGGGTAAAAATCTCTCATCCTTGCATTGACCACATTGGAACTTAAAACACAGAAGTTTCCATTTAGAATTATACTACAGAGATGTTTTTCAGGTGAAAAATGGAAGCGAGCAGGGCAATCATTTCAGGAAAATCGCTACAAACATCCTTTTGCAGAACGTTGTGCTGGTTGTCACCTAGACTTTGCATTGTAAAACCTCACTTTAGGAAGTGGTGCTGTAGCTCAGTGGTAGAGCCCTAGCCTTGATCTGAAGAGTTGAGGGACAGGTCCAGGCCCAGAGTTCAAGCACCACTACCGACAAAAAAAAAACCTTACTTTGACATTAAATTTGTTTTTGTTTTTACATTCAGTGTTTAGTGTTAGATTCGAAAAAAAAACTCAATATTTAGTGGTGATATCCTGATCACCTTCCATGGTCATATGGCATAATTTTGTAAAGTAATATCAAAATGACAGATACCTTTGAGATTCTTATCTATTATTGGTCAGCTTGTAAGATCTGCAAAGTGGTTGCACTAAAGCCTTCAGAATACAAGGATGACCTGTCCTTGAGGCTTAGTAAATATTTCCCTAGAATTTTATTTATATATAGTGAACATAGGCCTGTATTTAGTTTGTGGAAACATTTTGCTTTTATTTCTTCCATGTGTTCATTTGTATATTCTGTACTTGGAAAGACTGTGCAAACATTGCAAGGGATATTGCAGCCATAATCAGAAAAAATCTGTTGCTGGCCTTTTCAGCTTAGCTCTAGGCTTTCTCTCTTGTGGTAACTACCTTTCTGCACATCAGCCTAGAATAAAGTACACATGACTGATAGTTTACTGGGGTTTTTAGTATTTTAATTGTTATGATGAAGGTGTTGCACAGAGTGGTTACAGTTACATAAGTCAGGTAAAGAGTACATTTCTGTTTGGACAATGTCACCGCTTCGCTCACTCAATAGTTTACTGTTTTTACAGATGATGAAAAATCAACGAGTACAGTTAATGCGTCAGATGAAAGAAGATGCTGAAAAGTTTAGACACTGGAAGCAACAAAAGGACAAAGAAGTAATCCAGTTAAAGGAGCGGGTAAGTAACTAAAACTTACCAAAGCCTGCCTGGTATGTCAAAAAGGTGATATATTAGGCCAGGTGCTAGTGTCTCATGCCTGTAACTCTAGCTACTCAGGAGCTGAGATGTAAAGATCAAGTTGCAAAGCTAGCCAAGTCATGAAAGTATGTGAGACTCTTATCTCCAATTAACCACCAAAAAGCCAGAAGTGGAGCTATGGCTCAAGTGGAGCAAATAAGCTCAAGGGCAGCACCCCAGGCCCCGAGTTCAAGCTTCAGGGCCAGCAGACACACACACAGACACACACACACACACACACCAAATAATAAGTGGACCACAGTTTCAGGATAATAGAAGATTCAGTTAGAAAAGCAATTTGAAGCTAAATTGTCACAAATTCAAAAAGTTTGAACTTTATTTTGTTAGTAATATAAAGAGGTTTAAAGTTTGGGCAGAACAACATAAAATCAGCAAAATTAAAAAGATGTCTGAGAGGACTGTGTGAAATAAATTTAAATATTTAGAAACTAGAGGCTAGAACACAAGTTAAAGAGATCTTATATGATCCAGAAAGATTGTAAGGGTTAAAGTAACAAGTTTTTGGAAAGCTCATTAGAAAAGCAAAAGGAGTCTTGATTTGAAGAAATTTTAGAATTGACTAGAATGTAATGTATTGGTCAAATGTTCAGGAAGAAAAGTACTTTCAGAATGGTAATATAAGGAACTTCATAGATTTTCTTCATGGGAAAACAACCATAACTAGTAAAATTTATAAAAACCAACGATGAAGTCTCTGCAAACTATCCTAAGAGCATGCAATCAATGAAGAAACATTCAAGAAAATCTACTAAGTCTCAGAACAGCAGGAATTTGTGGCATTTAAACTATGATCTTCAAGAAAACCTATTAAATCTCAGAACAGCAAGAATCTATGGCATTTGTGCTATGATCATTTCCCTCCCTTCAACCCTTAACTCCCAGTCTACTTTTGTGGCTTCTTTCAAGTTGGAACAACCTTCTGCTGTCCCCTCCCCCCATTTAACACACATGGCTCCATGTTTCTAAAGCTCAGGCAAGGTCCTAAGCAGGAGTATCAGAGTTCTTTTTTTTTCTTTTAATTTTTTATTGTGAAAACACTGTACAGAGGGGTTACAATTACATGGGCAAGGTAATGAGTACATTTCTTATCAAGCATTTTTGCCTCCTCCTTTGTTTCCCCTTGTCATCCCTTCCCACCTCCCCCCCCCACCAGAGTTGTAAAGTTCGTTTTTTGACATAACGACTTGTACATTTCACTGTTGCAATGGGTCCACCTGTATCCCTATTTAAACGGTTTGTTTTTGCCCTTCCCCTCCACAAATTATAGATCAAATACAATGACAGCAAGGGTTATACCATGGAGGAGGGACATACAAAGCAACAAAAATCATCTTATAAATATGTTAGAAACAATCGCAAGAAAGAAAAAACGTTTGAATACTTATCTTGGGATAACATCGACTTATCTGACCTTTTCTGCTTGTCTCAGACATATACTAGTTATTACAAATAAGGGACTTCTTGATAGGGGAAAAGCAAGCTCTATATTTGGAGACATAATCTGGAGAAGTTCAAAGATGCTATCAAAAACAACGAACAGCTGGTCGCTGGTGGCTCATGCCTGTGATCCTAGCTACTCAGGAGGCTGAGGTCTGAGGATTGCAGTTCATAGCCAGCCCAGGCAGAAAAGTCTGTGAGACTCTTATCTCTAATTAACCACCAGAAAAGGAGAAGTGGTGGTGTGGCTCAAGTGGTAGAACACTCGCCTTGAGCTAAAGAGCACAGAAACAGTACCCAGGCCTAGAGTTCAAGCCCCACAACTAACAAAAAAACACAACAACAACACAACAACAAACATTTTGGTGGTAAACAACTTGAGACCTCCAGGAAAATAATAAATCTTATATCAGTAAAAATATCCAAAGATATAATGTATAAAACTTCCCAAATATGATAATATGTCTCCAAGAAGTTTATTGAACTACAAGGAGGATAAATGGAAAGAGATCCATACCTAGTATACCATAGTCACAATATTAAAAGACAAAACTTGAAAGCAGCAAGGTAAAATAATTCAGCAGTACATTGACACTCTCAATGAAATTAACAATGGAAATCACATCAGAGATAAGAGACTAGAAGGCAATATATAACATGTTGGAAGTGCTGAAATAAAATGCTATCACAATTTAGAGACTAAAATTATATGTTATAGTCTCCTTTTAACTAATTTAAATAGAAATTGTATAAAACTATCTAAAGCTCTATATTTGCATATATATGTAAGCAAGAATATGTTTGCATATAAATATATCGGCTGGAGGTATAGTTCTTTGGTTGAGGCCCTTAGTTTCATTCCCAGCACCCAAAAACATACACATATGCCCACATAGTCATATACACATAATTATATTGATGCGCTGTAACATATAGAAATGTAATATATATGACAATAACAGTTCAAAGAGGTAGTTGGGAGCAAAGTTTTATTCAAGGTAGAAAAGGATATCAGATGGTCATGTGAGCCCACACAAAGAAATAATTAAGAAACCAGAAAAGGTAGATAAAAATAAATACAGGGCTGGGAAGGTGGCTCAGTGGTAGAGTGCTTTCCTTGCATGCATGGGGCACTGGGTTCGATTCCTCAGCACCCCATAAGCAGAAAAAAAGCCAGAAGTGGCATTGTGGCTCAAGTGGTAGAATGCTAGCCTTGAGCTGAAATGCTGAGGGACAGCACCCAGGCCCAGAATTCAGGCTCCACGACCAACAAAAATGAATGAATAAATAAATAAACAAACAAACAAATAAATAAAGCATCCAAGCATCAGTGGCTTACTCCTTTAAACCACAGCTGCTCAGGAGGCTGAGATAGGAGTATCACCGTTCAAGATAGACTTGGATATAAAAGTTTGTGAGACTGAATTTCTAACCGGGAAAACACAGGACTGGAAGCATTTCTTTTTTTTTTTTTTTTTTTTTTGTCAGTCGTGGGGTTTGAACTCTGGGCCTGAGCGCTGTCCCTCAGCTCTTCAGTTCAAGGTGAGCGCTCTACCACTTGAGTCACAGAGCCACTTCCAGCCTTTTCTGCATATGTGGGGCTGAGGAATCGAACCCAGGGCCTCATGCATGCAAGGCAAGCACTCTACCACTGAGCCACCTTCCCAGCCCCCTGGAATCATTTCTTAAGTGGTAAAGCAGTCGCGTGTCTAATGTAAAAGCCCTGAGTTCAAACTCTAGTACTGCCATCCTCCCCGCAAAATACTAGCTTTCAAGGCTTGGGATGTAGCTCAGTGATAGAGTTGATGCAAAGCATGTACAAGAACCTGGATTTACTACCAAACACCACAAGAAATAAAATATACTGGCATTCTACTTACTAATGCTTATAGTCATTTTGTATTTTCCTTACTCCATAAAAAAATTCCAACCAGGCACTGGTGGCTCACACTTGGACCGCTAGCTACTCAGGAGGCTGAGATCTGAGGATCACAGTTCAAAGCCAGCCTAGGCAGAAAAGTCCGTGAGACTTTCCAATTAATCAGCAAAATCCAGAAGTAAAGCTGTGGCTCAAGTGGTAGAGTGCCAGCCTTGAGCCAAAAGTTTTAGAAATAGTGCCCAGGTCTGAGTTCAAGGCCCAAGACTGGGACGCACACGTGCGAGCACACACACATATACACACACACACATACACACACACACACACACTAAATAAATCAATCAAGCAAACTATAAATGTGTATTTGCTCCCCATTTTTACTTTAGCTTCTGTTTTTAGTTATTATTAAGGTAATATACAGAGGGCTACTGTTTTATCAGACAAGTAATGAATATATTTCTTTTTTAACAATGTCATCCCTTCCTTTGCTCTCTCTCAGTTTTTCCCTCCCATCCCCACCTACAAGTTGTATAGTTCATTTTCACTTATTTAAAAAGAACACTATTTAATCATTATAATAGATTAAGTATGATAGTGCTTTCCCATAATCCTAGCACTTGAGAGGTGGAGGCAGGAGGATTGCAAAGAAATTTAAGGCCAGCCTGGGCTACATAGTGAAACCCTCAAAAAACAAAACAAAATTATATTAATGTGTATGAGATTACAGATAGCTTTAATGTACACACATATAACAATAAAAGCATAGAAAAAGGAAAAGGGACCAGAGTTACATGGGAACAAAATTTTTACACCTAATTAGACTTAAGCTAATATAAATCTGAAGTAATTTCTGATGATTTAAGAAGTTTACTGTAAGTTCTCAATCAGTAACTAAGAAAATAACTCAGAAAATATAATGAGGGGGATGGAGGGTAGGGGAGATGGGAAGGGGAAACAGGAGGAGTCAATAATGCTTGATAAGAAATGTACTCATTACCTTGCTCATGTAATTGTAACCCCTCTGTACAGTATTTTTACAATAAAAAAAATAACCCTCAAAAAGCAGGGGGGCGGGGAGGAGATGGGAGGGCAAGGATGGTAAGGGGAAACAAAGGAGGAGGCAACAATGTTTAATAAGAAATGTACTCATTACCTTGCTCATGTAATTGTAACCCCTCTGTATGGTATTTTCACAGTAAAAAAAATTAAAAGAAAATATAATGAAGCTGGGTATAGTGGCTTACAGCTATAATCCTAACAACTTGGGAAGGAAAGATCAGTAGAATCACAGTTTGAGATAAACCCTGGGACAAAAAGTTCATGGAAACCTTATCTCAACCAGTGAAAAACTGGTCATGATGGCACATAACTATCATCTCAACTATGTAGGAAGCATAGATAGGTCCACTGTCCAGGCTAGCCAGAGTATAAATGTGAGACCCTATATGAGAAATGAGGAAAGTAAAACAGGTAGAGGAGTTGCTCAAATGGTAGAAGCCTTGCCAAAGCAAACTTCCGTACTGCCAAAGAAAAATAATAATCAATAAAGAATTAATTTATTATACTAGAAAATATTCACTTAATGCAAAAGTAGTAAAGGAAA